CACTGTGACTGGTATCCTTACAAAAAGGGGAAAATTTGGACACAGACTTGCACACAGGGAGAATAGCACGTGAAGACTGGCATTATAGCATTACACATAAAGCAACTGCCAGAAGCTTGGGGACAACCCTGGAGCTGACTCTTCCCTAGTGCCCTGTAAGGTAAATGGAAGTTATCAGGTTTTTTACACCCTCCCTGCCATTGGCATCTATGATCGGCACCTGTGTTCTCATATGCCTGTCTGACAGTGGCAGCTGAAGTATGGTGTGGGCATGCGTAGGTGGGCATCCTGAGCTGAGAGACTAAGCATATAAGGGCAGAGTCACAGAGGACGGGGTGTGGAAGGCTGTGCACCAGAGTGCAGTGGAGAGTGGTGGACGCATCAGAGAACTGCTAAGAGGGAAAAGAGCTTGCAGGGATTCGCAGGGGTGTCCAAGTTGCTGTCTCCCTGCTGGTTTGTTTCCCCTAACTTGTGGGGGTGATGCCAAAGGCTCCAAGTTTCTCTTTTAAGCTTCCTGAACTGACAATGAACCTACGCAGCCTGGGATGGTTGCAGAACATGCCCTTAGAGGGAACATGGACCTGCCCACATCCTGACCAGACACTTCTAGCTACAGAACTGTAAGAATATAATCTTTGCTACTTACAGCACTCAGTTTGTGAGTGGCAGCCCTAGCAAACAATACACCCATAATGCTCTTTCCAAATCATAGCTAATTCCAAATCAATTGTTTGTTGGTTTGTCTCCTTCGGTCTTGTATCTATTAGTCTATAGATCTATATTTACACACTCACGAATGTAACCTCCATTCAAACATTAGAGGCAGCTTCTTAATTATCTAGAACTGGGAAATGAGGAAAAAAGATTACTTATGACCTTCTATAAGTCATACTAGATTGTTTAACAAACTGGTCTGACTTGTCTGTCTCTTAATAGGAAGGGAATTTTTTTTTACCTTCCTAAATTCTATTTACTGTTTCTTATGGTCCTGAATTTGTAAAGTTTTATGCTACCATGGAGAAAATTGGTAAATTGCAGCTCACTTTTTTTCTGTAGAGTTTCAAATGATTTTTTGTTCTATAGAAAAGATTATCCATAAAGGTTATTGTTTTCATTGTCCTGTATCCAAATTAGCAATATTATTTCAACTTTCTTTTAGTAACTCTCTTTTAATTTCTCATATCCTCCTTTGAAACAGATTACCATCTTGCTGATTCTCTCATTAATGAGTTAAAAAAAAAACCTTTTACATTTGTATTTTTTTTGAGAAGTAATCTTAATTCCCGGTGGCGCAGCGGTTGAGCGCTGGGTTGCGAAGCTGCCCACGGCCTCTGCGGCGCCGGTTCGATCCCCGGCTGCTCCCCGGCCACTGGAGGAGGGTCCCACATGGCGCGCAGACCTCTCCTGCCGCCCGCTGCTCCCCTCAGCAGTGTACTTCGGTCCTTCTCCCTGCTCTGCTCCCTGCTCTGGCTCTGGTGAGTTCTCTCGCCCTCCCGCGCTTCTGACTGTACCCAGTGCATGTATAAACAAAACAAACAAACAAATATAATAAATAAATAAATAAATAAAACATGCCTCCATTAAAAAAAAAAAGTCTCAACATTAAAAAAAATAAAAAAATTATATGTTGACATGCTTACATGAGTAGTTCCCAAACTTTCAATGATTGTGAAGAAAAACTATTAAAATAAAATCAAGTTGGATGACTAAGATAGAGTTGCCAACTTTAATTTACTAAAAATTGTCAAAAAATCATAAACACAGAAAACAATTATCTGTTAGAACTACAGCTTTGTTAAAGGCAGTGTGCAGAGATTTTAATACCAAGAGTAGGATAAAATATAAACTATATGTCATGAATATTACCCATTCTGCTGATTTTGCTCATTGCCCAACACATAAGTAAACACAAACATGGTTTAGAAGACATTGCTTGCAGATGCCTGGTTTCTGTCCTACTTGTGCAGTTTTGTTTATTCATTCATTTAGGGCCTTTCTATATCCTAACATATCCTATTTATATCCTATGTGTCAAAAAATCACTAAGTTATATGCCAAGGAAGCATCTTCTATGTACAAACATTTTCCTGACATTGTAGAAAATATATTCTAGTGTGGGAAGATATGTTGAATAATATCCCAAATAAGGGCATTAAAAATTAAACATAATAAAAATGAAATGTAATTAAAATTGTGCTAAGTAGATGAGGAAAGCATCACTTAGATAGTGTACATCAAGCTGCTCATCTGCCAGACAGGTACTTCTCGGTGAAAACTCCCAACTAAAGAAAGTCACTTTCGTTAAGAGTTAAATATGTGACTGTGTTTGAAGGTAGCAGATAATAGAGGCTATCAGACCTCTCCTTGCATAGCAATCTGGGTTTACCAGTTTATGGTTTATGCCTCTTTACCAGTTTAGGCGTTTATGCCTCTGGCCTCTGTGGCTTTCACCTGTGGCCTTGAATGCAGGAAGAGCTTGGGAGCAAGGACCTGGGGCACCTGATGGTGGACACCTGTAGGATGGTGTGGGCCGGCCTGAGCCTGGGCGCCGGGGATATTGGGCCTGCGTCACACAGAGAACAGCAAGGAGAGGACTAGCAAACGTTATGGCTGAGAGAAAAGTACGTATAGAGATTTGCAGGGGGCAGGGGGGGGCGCCCAAGTTCTTGTCTTCCTGCTGACTTGTTTCCCCTGAGTAGTATTAAAAAACCTGTGGGGATGATGCCCGGGGCTCCAGCCATCTCTTTTAAGCTTCCTGAACCAACAATGAACCTACCTTGCCTGGGATGGCTGCAAAACAAGCAGGAACCCTCAAAAAGAGCAGACCTTTTACCTCTCCCCTTTCTTGCTTCTAAAAAGAAAGAAAGTGAACACTGAACTGTTTCTACTAGAAAAAAAATAATTAAAATGAAGTCAGTTCATCGTTACTTTTATTTATTTAAAGATTTATTTATTTATTTATACGTGCACTGGGTACAGTCAGAAGTGCAGGAGGGTGAGAGAATTCACCAGAGCCAGAGCGGGGAGCAGAGCAGACAGAAGGACCGAAGTACACTGCTGAGGGGAGCAGCGGGTGGCAGGAGAGGTCTGCGCGCCATGTGGGACCCTCGCCCGCAGCTTTGCAGCCCAGCGCTCAACCGCTGCGCCACCGCCACCGGGAAGCCCCATTGTTACTTTTAAAGAGACAATATGTTTTGCTGCAGCTGATAATGTAAGTTAATTGACCCTACTTAGTTCAGCAGCTCCACAAAACAGGTACTAACACTGTGGAGCATTCACACAAGGGAAGACGTGTATTGTCACGTGCAAATCTCCCTGGAGATAAGTTTTGACTCCATGGAATAAGTGTGGGCAACTTATTCATTTAAGTTATAATATATTAGAAAAGGAACTACTAACAAGGCAAACACTTCACATTCTTTAACTATGTCAGAGAAAGGTGAATGGGGGAGACAGGAAACAACAACTCAGAAAAATTTAGGATCTGGGGATACTTTTAAACAAAGGGAATGACTCCTTAACAAAAAGTAAGACCTGGTAAGGAATTGGAATAACTAAATTAAAACAAGAGAACTGATTCTATAACCTGTCTGAAAAGGCCACACGACCAGAGATAAAGATAATAGCCTGATTTCATAATTTTATGTTTGCTTTCCAGAAAATTTTAATACTAATAAAGATCTAACAGAAGTCTGCAGCAATGTAAGTGTAAAGTTCTTTCCCTAAATCAGTATATGCTCATTTTGAAAAACCTCTTTTTTGAATCACCACTTGTCCAAATACATGAACTTCTTGGGTGAGGAATTCTGGGCCTAAGTACTGTTACTATTATCCTGCTTTTCTCTGTACCATGTTCTATAGGATTCTGCTTATTTTTCAAGTTTCATGTGAAGTGTAAAATGACAAAGAAAATAGTCTAACATATTATTTAATAATAAGTTGAAGCTCAGAATTTTTTCCTTTTTAAATTAAACTGTCTAAATGTTTATTTTTCTTACAAGGAAAATTGATGGGTCAAAAGGACCCAGGGTTATATTAAGAGCTATCCTGAAGGCAGTCATCAGTTACTGATAGTATAGTTCACTGTCCAATTTACAGATTGCAGATTGCAGTCAATAGTCTTTTGTGCTTCAAAGACTTATATGTGGATATCAAACAGAATAGGCCTGGCACAAATTCCATTGCCTGGTGTGAGGCCAAATCTATCTGACATCCTCATATTAGTATTTCCACTAAAGGCAGATCATAGGGTGGCTCCTAACAACTAGTATTGGATTTGAAGCACAGCAGACTATTGACTGTAATCTGTAAATTGGACAGGGATGAGGGCTTAGCCTAACTAATACACCTTTCTTGCAAGATCTGTAAAAGGCAAACCTCTCAATATACCCCATTGGTTCCCTAGCTTTTTTCTATGCTCTGTGACAGTTTGATTACAATGACTAGTCCCTCTGTGTATTTTTTTTTTCCTACAGAAAAGGGAATCATTTTCTAATACTGACATAGTCAGTTTCCTGGCTTCATTTTTTATTTTTAGTTTCCTGACTTTAGATTCCTTTCAGGTTTATTGTGGTTTTTGTCATGAAATAAATTTCTTGGTGGCTGAGTCCTATTAACAAGGATTGTAACAGGGATTTTATTTCATCTGATTTGTAGCAAGGAAATGGTACCAAATGAAGCTAGGTAGCACCCAAAGTAAAATGAGTACAAACCCAATAGTCACTTTGATTAGTATATGTTCACCAAATTGCAAACTCTAGAGGGGAATTGGAATCATGTCAAGAAGTACATTTGGAAAAAAATTCAGTGTGGGGGCTTTACAGGTATCATGGTTAAGGAATAATAATAAGTTAGCAATTGGAAAAGAGGAAAGAAAATATCTAGGGAAATAGAGAACAAAATAATACACATTAAAGCATGAGATCAGTGGTTCTGGTCATCTGGATCTTGTTCATAGGTCTTAAATGGAAGTCATTTACTATTCACAGTTGTTTCCTTGATCTGAAGGTCTTCATTAGAAACTGTCTCCATCCTCCAGCTCCATCTCCAAATCACATGCTCCTGGATGATTCCTAAGGTTCCTTAACATGAAGTCCTAAGGATCCGCAACTTGAAGACAATTTTCAGGTATGAATTACATATTTTTATTTGAGAGGTGTAGGTCTAAGACCTTATAAACACCCTACAGTTTTTTGCTTGTTATTCATTAAATAGACCTAGCAAGGTTCTTTCCATCAAGCCTCGAGGACAGTTTTTCTGTGATGTCTCTAGACACTAAATCTCCAGAAGAACTGGCAGAATGAAAGAAAGTGAAATTCTCACTTGAGGCATTAAACACCATAAATTTATGAGGATATAGTCAGTAAAAACTTAGAGAGTAAGAACAATGAGGACCATGATAAATCACCATATATTTTGATTTGTGCTATACAATATACTATCATTATTCCCAATTAATATGGGCATTGAAATTCAGCAACCTAGAAATCAAAATTTCTAGATAATTATCATGCCTGTCTGTGTGCTTGAATATTCATTCCTTTTAATATAAAAATGTTTATAATCACTGAAATATTCTGGGTGTTAAGTTTAATATAATTAATTCAGGTAGGCTATACTTTTATGATATGTACATGTACAGGTTTTTGTTAAGTTTGAGAAATAAAAGACCTTTTACCTTGTTTTTGAGTTAATTAATATTCATAGAATGTTAGGAAAGACCAATTAATTTTATTAGTTTCACTTTGGGAGGCAAAGGAACACAATTTTGTGTTACCTAGCAGCAAGTCCAAGAAACCCAAAGATATTTTCAGTTTAAAAGATATCTTAATATTCTTTTACAGGCTAATTGAGGAATTACAAAAATGAAAATGTTTTTCAGAGAAAAAAATGTTTGAACATAACTCATAGTTTCAGACAGTATTTTGAAAATATAAAATGATAAATAAAAGTGATTATTAGTAACTTATTTTTCTCAAATAAAGAAAACTTTTATTGTTACAAGTGAGCAGTGTTGCCAAACAGTCAACGAAGTATTTTAGTGATAGAAAGGAGCCTTTGTTACTGAGTAAAGAGTAACTGAATAAAATCACAAATTTGTTGAGGAAAAATAAATGAAGAATCTGAGAAGCTCAGCAAATTCCAAACAGGTTAAACTTTATAAATAATCTTTCAAATATATTATAATCAAACTGCTGAAAAACAAATATGAAAAATAAAATCCTAAAAATAGCCATTGAAAAAGGTAAATGAAAATCACAGTTTTATAAACCAATGTTACCTGAATAGATATATAGATTTTTAAAAAATGAAAAAAATCAATGATTTAAGTCACTGAAGAGTTCTCATTAGAAATCATGTAGGTTGAAATACAGTTGAGCAACATTTCTCAAGGGCTAAAGGAAAAGAAGTATCAGCCCAAAATCTATAGCCAGTGAAAATATCCTTCAGGAATGAAGGCAAATAAACACATTCCCAGTTGAAGGAAAGCTAAAATTTATTGCTATAAGGCTGTGCCTTAAAGGAAATGGTAAAAGTTTTCCAGGTAGAAGGGAAATATGACCAGCATGGAATTTAGAAATTTAAAAATGAAGTAAGAGCAACTGAAATACTAACTATCTCATATATTGCTTCCCAAGACTGTTATAACCAATTACTACGAATGTGGTGAATTAAAATAATGTAAATTTATTCTCTCATAGTTTTGGAGGCCAGAGTATAAAATCAAGGTATCAGCACAAGTACACAATTTCTAAAGGCTCTGGGGAGACTCTCTCCTTGGCTCTTTCAGTTTCTGCTGGCTGTAAGGCTTCCTTCCTCTTCTTGATGGTATGACTTCAGTATCTGCTTCCATGGTCACATCACCTCCTCCTTATGTTTTCTCTTCCGTCTCTTATATGGATGCTTGCCAATGGATTTAGGGCCCATCTAAGTAACCCGGGGTAATCTCATCTCAAAATTCTTAATTTCATCTACAAAGATCCCTTTTCCAAGTAAATTCACATTCACAGGTTCCAGAGGGTTAGTCTTTCACCTTTTTTCTTTTTTTTTTTCAGAACATGAAAAATTACCAGGCATAAAAAGGGACTTTACAAAATGAGAAAAGGCTCAACTTACCAATGAGACATTCTAATCTTAAATATTTATGCATTTAACAATAGATTCAATACTTTTTTAATATGATGTAAACACCAAAAGAATTGAAAAGGAGACATAATCAAATCCACAATTATAGACTTTAACAATCCTTGCTCAGTAATTATAAGTAGGTAGAAAATCACCAAGGACATAGAAGACTTGATCAATGCTGTCAAGCAATTTAATATTCATTTATAGAACACCATTTCAAGTGCACATAAAATATTCACCAGGATAAGTCATGTTTTGAGTCACAAAATTTATTAATTAAACAAATGATATAACACAAATTATATGCATTGACCATAAAGGAAATAAAATAAAAATCAACTTTTAGGAAAGATTTTTAAATATTTGTAATTTAAATAATACCATTCTATAAGAATAATATCATTCTATATGACAGCTAAAAGAAGATATTTTAAGAAAATATTTTGAACAAAATGAAAATAGAATATATTAAAATTTGTGAGAGGCATTCAAAGTAGTTTTTAGAAATTTAAAGCATTTAGGCCAATGGTCACTTGGGAGGAAAAAAGAAATTTATAGCATTCAGTTCTTTTTTTTTAAAAGATTAGTTTTTTTATGCATACAAGAGCTGGAGTACAGGCCAGAGTTGCGGGGAGGGGGTGTGTGAGAAGATTCACCAGAGACAGAGCGGGGAACAGAACAAGCAGATCAACAGAAGTACACTGCTGAGGGGAGCAGTGGGTGAGTCAGGAGAGGTCTGCTGCACCATATGAGTTGCTCCCTGCCTGGCCTGGGGATCGAACTCGTGCCGCAGAGGCTGCGGACAGCTTCATATGTTGCGTCTTAACCCCCTGCGCCACCAGGGAGTCCCAGCATTCAGTTCTTATACAGGAAAACAAAGGGTCTCAAACATATAAGGTACATTTTCACATTAATAAACGAAATAAGTATAAACTATGCTGAAAGCAAACAGAAGTAAAGATATGATAAAGAACTAAGATCAATGACACTGAGAGAAAAAAAAAGAAAGCAAGAAAATGAATAAATTCCAAAAGATCTTTATTTGAAAAGATTAGTAAATTGCTATATCTCCAGAGGACTGATGAAGAATAACAACAATAAAGGTACAATGTAACAAAATTAGTAATGGGAGATATCACTGTAGCCTCCCAGACATTAAAAGGATAAAAAGGGATTACTATACATAACACTATGCACATGCATTTGACAGCTTACAGGAAATGGATTGATTTTGAAAGACACAAACAATAAGAAATACAGAACTTGAAGAGTTCAATTCAAGGAATTGAATTTATAGTTAAAAAATAGTCCAAAAAGGAAATACCAAACACAGAGAGTTTCATTGGTGAATTATACCAAATATTTGTGAAATAACATCAGTTTTGCGTAATCCTTTCTGTAAGGTAGAATGACCATTTCTCAATTCATTTTATGTAGCAAACATGACTCTGATATTACCCAGACAAAGACAATACAAGCAAAGAAAACTATTGACCAATATCTGCATAAATATAGGTGCAAAATTAAGAAAAAAAGTAGCAAATTGAATCCAGCACTATATAAAAAGAACAATACATCACAACCAAGTAGGGTTTGTTTATCTTGGGAATGCAAGGCTGGTTTCACTATGCAAAAATCAATCAATAGAATTCGCCATACTAACAGACATAAGAAAAACATATGGTCATATCAGGAGATGCAGAGAGTCATTTGATGAAATTAACTGTCTGCTTATGATAAAATCTTCCCACAAACTTGAAGGAAGATGAAACTTTCAAAACACAATAACAGACATCTTTAAACAAAGCATAACGAAACAAAAACATAATCCACCTGGAACTAACACTCATCTGGGAGCAATGTAAAATGGAACAGCTATTCTTGAAAACTTTGGCAGTTTCTCATAAAGTTAAATATACACTTATATCACCCAAGAATCTGGCTGCTATGTATTTCCAGAAAATAAAAACATAAATTCACACAAGACCTGAACGTGAATGTCAATAATGCATTATTCATAATTGGCCCAAACTAGAAATAAACTAAATGTTCTTCAATGAGTGAATGGATACACAAAGTATGGAATATTTTTTGGCAATATAAAGTAACCAACTACTGATATACATAACAACATGGTTGTATGTCAGATGTCTTACACTAAATTAAAGAAGTCAATCTTAAAAGATTAGATTAAATGACATTCTGGTAAGGCAAAACTATGGGGACAGAGAAACCAGGCTTAGGTGTGAGGGGAGACTTGACTACCTTCTGCATAATAAGAGGGAATTTACAAGAGTTTTGGAATTGTTCTATATCCTGTTTCTGTGGTGCTTACAAAAGCCTTTGCATATGTTAAAATGTATAGAATTGTAAATGAAGAAGTGTATTTTAATCTATTAATTTAAAGACTAATGTAGAGATTAAAGTATATAAATATTCTTACATCGTTAATTATATTTATTTACATATACAATGCTTATTTATGTATTTACATATGAAATTTATTTATATTCATATAAATGAACAGATATATAAATAAAATACATTAAACCAAACAAACCATATTATTATCTGACATACATATTCTGATTTCTCCATAGCTAATTTTTATTACCACCTTTAATTAATTTAACCAAATTTTATCTTTCTAGACACTAGAAAAAACTGCAAGATAAAAAACCAATAACATAGCTAATTTCTTATAACCATACATTTTATTTTACTTCAACACATTGTAAAATGGCAAGCTAAATGTATTTGCTATCATTTAAAGACATTTACATATTGCCTTCATCTGTAGTCATTCTCTAAATAAAATTAGATAACAAAGGAAATAAAAAAGTAGGTTTAATCATCAAAATGTTATATTGTTCTACAGAGAAATTATGTAGGTATTCCAAATATCAATTTAGTAAATAACACAATTTAAATTAGCCTAAAATCCAAGAGTGACTAAAAATCTATAAAGAACAATTTATTTATTTATTTATTTATTCATTCATTTATTTATTAAATATTTATTTATTTATTTATACAAGCACTGGGTACAGTCAGAAGCACGGGAGGGTGAGAGAATTCACCAGAGACAGAGCAGAGAGCAGAACAGGCAGACTGACGAAGTACACTGCTGAGGGGAGCAGTGGGCGGCAGGAGAGGTCTGCGCGCCATGTGGGACCCTCGCCCGGCAGCCGCGGATCAAACCGGTGCTGCAGAGGCTGTGGGCAGCTTGGCAGCCCAGCGCTCAGCCACTGCGCCACCAGGGAGGCCCAATAATTTATTTTTTTTTAAGATTTATTTTTTATTTATACAATAGCTGGGGTACAGGCCAGAGGTCTGGGAGGGTGAGAGGATTCACCAGAGATAGAGTGGGGAGCAGAACAGGCAGACGGACGGAAAGCACTGCTGAGGGGAGCAGTGGGTGAGACAGGAGAGGTCTGCCTCACCATGTTGGAATCTCTGATTTAAATTATTGTTTAGGGCTTCCTGTCCTCAGCCTCTGCAGCGCGGGTTCCCTGGGAGAGGCCCACATGGCATGGCAGACCTCTCCTGCCTTGTCGTCCGCTGCTCCCCTCAGCAGTGTCTTTGATCCGTCTGCCTGTTCTGCTCCCCGCTCTCTCTGGTGAATTCTCTCACCCTCCTGTGCCTTTAAACTGTACTCCAGTTCTTGTATAAATAGATAAATCTTTTTTTTTAAATTTAAATCAGAACATCCTCTGATTTGTAGCATCAGAAGAGTTATCAAGATTAAATTCTTTAAAAATGTTGTTTCAGGACCTCCCCTGGTGGTGCAGGCGGTTGAGCTCCATGCTGTGAAGCTGTCTGCAGCCTCTGCAGCGCTGGTTCAATCCTGGCCGGCCAGGGAGAATCCCACATGGCGCCGCAGACCTCTCCTCTCTCTCCCGCTGCTCCCCTCAGCAGTGTATTTCGTCAGTCTGCCTGTTCTGTTCCCCGCTCTGTCTCTAGTGAATCCTCTCACCCTCTGCCGCATTTGGTGTGTACCCCGATTCTTGTATAAATAAATAAATAAATCTTTTAAAAATTAAAAAAGTTTCAAACTTGCTTATTAAAAATATTTTTTGCGTTTTTTCCAAACTTAAACATTTTCTGGAAAAACTATACCTAAGAATAAGTATAATTTCCAAGATTAATGAAAATAATGAGAAGGAAAAACAGAGATAGAGAGAGAGAAACTAAGTCAGTTCAAACAGTAACTCTGGTACCTGATTTTCTATCAAATATACAATTTAAAATGTTGACACCCTTAAAGCCCTTTCTAGGTATAAAAATATGAATTAGGATTTCCCCTTTGTTACCAAAGTGATTGCTTTTTTAGATTGACAAGTCAGAGAATCTCAAGAGGGTCTCTTCCCTGTTCCTTTGAATGCACCTATCAAAAGAAAAATCTTTTTCACATCAAAATGTCCCCCAAGTGGCCGCTGAAAGGCAGAATTATGCTAGTTAGAGAGAAATGCCCACAAAGTAAAAGTGGAAGCAAGGAGTCATTCAACCAGGAGAACAGAGAACTTATTAGAATAGCAGTGATTACTAAGAAGGATATTTGTGCAAACCTTTGGTCTCTTGATGCTGCTCAAAGATTATTCGTCACTAACTGAAATGCAGTGAACCCTCCAGGTGAATGAAACCCTCCAGTCTCCAGGTGGATGAAACCAAATGAAGCGGTTCTAAAGGCACCAAAAAGATGCATTATTATAATAATAGCTAATCTTTACATAGTACCTCCAATCATTCTGTTTTTCTTACATTATTTTATATAGCCAAATCCTGTGAGGTGGGTCTGAATTGGAAATTGGTGCCCTTTATAGGACGTTATGCCATTTTTCTGTCGTTGGCATATTAAAACCTACATCTCTATATCTTATCAATATTTCTTTTTCCTGAAGACTGAGGAAGGTCTCAAAGAGGTGTTAAAGAGGTGATGCAGGTCAAAGTGTGTTCAAAGGAGTTCGATCTGACATGATTTCTGGACTTACCAGTTCTTATGGCTGAATTGAGAACACATTTATCTGTTCTGTGTCCTCTTCCTATACCTTTTATCTTATAGACTCACAGAACATGACAATAGAAGGCAGAGCAGTAGAAGTGAGTTTCCATCACGGGCAAGTTTTTTTGTGAGAAGGGTCAGTCAATCCGTGATTGTGTCTGGGGCTGCTCATTGCTTCTGATATGTAAGCAAATGGTACTTTCTATAGAAGATAGGATGGCAGGCTAAAGGTTTTTTCCTGATCATAGAAATTATGGAATGCATGGTTCTCAGTTTATCTGGTATTGCTGAGGATTTCTTACTAATAAACTATGTTTTTAAGAGGTTTTAATTTTTACTTAGGAATTTCAGTTAACTAGCCTACTAAATAATTTTGAGGTTTACTTTTGATACAAGATTCTGGGGCAGAAGAATACCATTTCAGGAATACCTTAAAAGTTATGATAAACTTATAATGATAAAATTATGAATAAGCTCTTGACCTAAACTTCAAGGGAATTTGAGTCTAGGCAAAAAGATTATATTTTAAGATAACAATGGGGCATCATTGTTCTTGTAGTTAGAAGAATGTGTGTTAAATATTTAAAATTATGTTTACCACTAGCTTATGATAAATGCCTTGAGAAATACATTGTGTGAATGTCTTTCAGTTCTCATTTTCTATGAGATTTTTATCAAAAACATAGTTGAATTTTATCAAGTGTCTTTTCTGTTTCTCTTGATATGATCATGTGATTTTCTACTTTAATAAATGTCTTAATATTGAACTGTTCTTTAATCCTGATATGAAACACACTTGCTTTTATACTGCAATATTACATTTCTGTAATAATCTTATAACACTGTATTTAGGATTGGAGATGCTATTTCAATTTTCACTAGACTTGCTTAACTATAGCTAGCAATTGCTTTTAAAGAGCAAAAAGGGAGTCCTTGTTTCAGAAATGTTTGATGGAGCCTTTCTCCAAAATCGTTAAGTTTTGCAGACTTATTGGATGAAAATCTTTACATTTTTTTCTTACCAGTTTGATTTATTTGGTGCCTTCACAAGCATGTACTGAATGCTTCTGCCCAGTCACTCTGAGCTGCTGGGGGCAGGGTGGGTGGGAATTTTTACACTGAGCTGTTCAGCCTTGACACCTATTTTCTGCCTGTGACTAAGAATCTATTCAAATTTCCTATCTCCTCTTGAATTAATTTGGTAAATTTTGTTTTTCTAGTAAATGATATGTTTAATCTGAATTTTTAAATTTATTGTAGACAATGTAGTCTTTTAAAAATTTTAATTCTTGAGGCCTCCCTAATGGCGCAAGGGGTTAAGTGTCAGAATTATGAAGCAATCCGCAGGTACTACAGCACAAGTTCGACCCCCGGCCAGGGAGGTGACCCACAGACCTCTCCTACCTCACCCACTGCTCCCCTCAGCAGTGTATTTCAGTCAATCTGCCTGTTCTGTTCCCCACTCTGTCTCTGGTGAATCCTCTCACTGCCCCCCCACTCCCGCATTTCTGGTCTGTACTCCAGTTCTTGTATGCATAAATAAATAAATCTTTAAAAAAAAATTTAAATTATTTATATTTCCCCTTACATTTCTTTTAGTTTATGTTTTCATATTTTATCTTTTTATTTCTTGGTCAGGAGATTGTATGTAAAATAAGGTCTAAAAAGATGCATTATCATAATAATAGCTAATCTTTATATAGTCCCTCCAATCATTCTGTTTTTCTTACATTATTTTTATATGATCAAATCCTGTGAGGTGGGTCTGAATTGGAAATTGGTGCTCTTTACAGGACGTTATGTCATTTTTCTGTCGTTGGCATATTAAAACCTACATCTCTATATCTTATCAATATTTCTTTTTCCTGAAGGAATATTTCAATTTATTTTTTTGCTTTTTTGCTTTATTAGTCTAAGTATTTCACTGCAAGGAATAACTACTAGAAAGAAAAATGAGAGCAATAATAACACATAAGTGATTTTTATAAAGAAATCTTGGATTTGTTTTGATTAGGAGCAAATGTTTGTTGAATGACTATAGTGAACATTCCAACATCTTTTACAGGAAAAAGTAGATGTACTATGTTTGTAAATATTACAAAGTCTGCTTGGGCGACAGGGACTAGATGATAATATTCTTAACTATTTCTCCTAGGGAAGAGATGCAGAATAAAATTTGTGTAGGTTTCGAAGGCAGAACTGAACTAAGGAAAATTCATCAGGAAGCAGAAGAGGAAGAACTTCCTGGTTATTGTAGCCCAATAAATGGAAGGGACTGCCTCACATTGCAATGAACTCTCTCATCAGGTAAGGTGACCATGTAAAATTTTGAGAGTAAAATGAAATACCAATAATTATAATTATATAATTATTGAAATAAGTCTTTATTGATTGAGAAATTGGTTTTATTTTATTGATGAATTTATGTAAAAAAAACTATTGAAACTATTTTGAATTAAAATTCTTAATAAATTAACATGGTAGGCTAAATTTATGTATATTAAAGCAAAATCTGAAAAGTATATCAATGACATTTTTGGTCTTATTTAAATACAATTGACCATAGAACACTAGGGGACTTAGGAACACTGACACCTGCACAGTTGAAAATTTAACTTTGGACTCACCTCAAAACTTAACTACCAATAGCCTATTGTTGACTGGAAGCTTTACTGATATGTTAAGCTTCTAACATTTTATATGTTAGATGTGTTACAAATTGTACTTTTATAATAAAGTAATAAACTAGAGAGAAGGAAAATATTGATTGAAAAAAATCTTAAGGAAGACAAAATAATTTATGGTACTATACTATATTTATTGATATTGTAGATTTATATGATATGTTTATAAGAAAACCATTGTATAAGTGGACCTGTGCAGTTCAAACTGTGTTGTTCAAATGTCAACTGTTCTTACTTTTTTTTTTTTTTTGGAATTTACTTGAATACTTTACTCAGTAACTTAGTGGTTAGAATGTCTTTGCCTTTATTTCCCCTGCATAGTTCATATGTTACCAGCCCTGCAATTTCCCATAGACTCCAATACCTGGCTGCTGACAGCTTCAGGCACCCTGCAGGCTGGGGTGAGGACCCTGGTGGGGATCAGCACATCCCCTGGCTGGATCACTAATAATCCACAGGGCATCAAGCTACCAGGATAACCATGTGCATTTCCTGTGTTATTGAGTGTCTTGCATGATGTCCTTGGGTGAATGGCTTAATTGCTTTGTTCCTAGAAAGATTTGGGTGTTTAGCAGATGGAACCATATCCTGCTGTATGGAAACTCTGATCACTGTACAAAATTTCAATTACTCCCAGCTGAGATCAGGCTGAAACTGGAGAAGGAAAGTCTACCTGACCCACCTCAGCATTTTTAATGCAACCACTACTACTAAAACTAGGTTAAAAATGAAAAATCCAGGGTTATTGCTAACCAGGCCAAAAATATGACAGAGTGTTCATGAGAACCATCCTTGACAAATCAGTTGTGAAGATCTCAGATATGCAGACCTGTTTTCTCTTTTTTTTTAAAACATGAATTCTACTCAAGCAGAAGGACTTCAAAATAAAAATCCCATGGAGTGTTTTAACTGAATTTAGCCAGTTATAAAATGTGGCAACTCTCATCAAAAGAGATGAGATAATGATGATAATATATAATATAATAAGATGTATGTATCATAGGTATTTTATCATATGTATTTTACATAATAATATATTTTATATAATAATCATGTATTTTATATAATAATGTATATTGTATGTAGTATAATAAAGTGATAAGATGAGCTGATAGTGAAATGATAATGATAAGTGAGTGATAAGAACAAAGAAAGACATTGTAGCAGCTCCAATGGAAAGACTGAGGTTGGAAATCTCATCAAGGGTGTGAAGTGACCTTCCTGTGAATGGAAGCTCATCAGAGGGGTATCACTCATCACAAGATTCCCTGCAGCCCTGTTGGAGAGCTCCTAGGAGGGAAGAAGTTTACCTACTGCTACAGTCACGAACCCAGGAATTGCCTTTGAATCTGATCTCTGCTGTCCCTTTGTCCCATTCAATGTCTCCTTTCATTCTCTGCAAATTGGAGATAACAATAGTAATTGTGTCACAAGGTTGCTATGAAGATTAACTCATTTAACATTTGTAAAATCACAGTCTCTATATAATTCTTCATTAAACAAAATAAAATCAGCTCTAGAGCCATGTGGGAGAGAAAAGGAAATGTGTTTTGTTCCACTGTGTTCTGTTCTTCAAACTATCTATTTACGATTTTTCTTTCCTTCTACAAGGAGAGTTGCCTTTGGTGCTAAAATAAGAATTCTATTTCTTATGGTGACTGAGACACAATGACATGATTGCTACTCTCAAAAGGCCCTTAAAGGAAGACCATCTTATTTGTGATTAAAAACTTGATCAAAGGTTTTTAAGTCCTTACATTCTGATTAGGAGATAACCTTAGATCCTGAAAGCTGGAGCTATCCATGATACTCTCTGCAGAGTATTAGTAGTGGACAGTCAGTAACAGCATCAGGAAGAAAAATTAGAATGAGCTGAAATATCTCTTCAGACTCCCGCTATAATTACAGGGGAGAACAAAATACTAGCATCTGTAAACAGGAATGTGACTCATAACCTATGACCCCTGAAGTTATGTTCATGTATAAAAGAAATCATATAGCAGCTTCCATGTGCTGTAAGGTATTGCCATTATTTTAGTTTTAGAGTTAACCGCCTGTCAGTCCATGTTTATGCTAACCCCACACCACTGTGGGGCAGTCAGTATTTTTCTGTTATTTTTCATTCTAGAATAAAATGTTCTTTAACTGAAATACTGTTCAGATGAATCACTGCCTGAGAAGTACATGTGGGCAGCTCATAATAAAAAGCATTACCTTTGCTACAGCATCAGAATGTTTTTTTAAGCAGGATGCACTTTGTATTCAATGGTAATTACTATGTTTTTAAAAACAGCATTTGAAAAAAAATTGTATTACTTATTGCTGACCTACTGATTCATCTGAATTTTAGCTCTACGAGGTGATGCCAGATTGACTTTTTTCAAAGGTAGCATCCCGATTTAGCCACAAATTAGGGCAATCCAGTCATGGCTTTCACACTTCTCTGACACCACCCCTGTCCATTATCACTTAGTTAGTACAGTCTCAGTTCCAAATCTTATTATTTTTCAGACATTGTGATGAAAGAAGTTTGAGATTATATGTCAATAGGTAGCTCTTGTCTTACTCAAAACCAAAGGGTCAGGCTCAAAGCATTTACCCATGGAGTGGACTTGGCTCAATTAAGACTTACTGAAAAGCTTTCTACAAGGCTATGTTATAAAGGAGTTGGTTGCTCATTATTCCCTCTGCAGAACATGCTAAAATCTTACCAGTGTCTAAATCTTTTTTTTAAATCTCTCATTCTCTTTTGTTGTCCTGAATTTTAATTCTAATTAGTGATAGAACCATCAATAAATTCACCAAAGCACAGGCAAAAAAGCAAAAATAAACAAATGGACCATATCAAATTTTTAAAAATTCTAGCATCAAAGGAAACAAGAGAGTGAAAATGCAATCTATTCAGTGGGAAAAATATTTTCAAATCATATCTCTGATAAGGAGCTAATATACAAAGTAAAAAATTATAACTCGATAACAAAAATGATGATAACCCAATTAAAAATGGCCAAAATACTTAAATTTCTCAAAAAAAAAATACAAATGACCAACAGGTATATTAAAAGACGTTCTGCATCATTAATCATCAGGCAAATGAAAATCAAAACAAAACATTACCTCAAATCTGTTGGTAAGTGTTGTCTAGGATGTTGAAAAATTAGAACTCAAGTACAGTGTTGGTGGGAATGTGAAATTAAACTGCTATGAAACACAATATGGAGTTCCTCACAAAATTAAAAATAGAACAGCGATCAAAATAGAACAGTGATCCTGCTTCTGGGTATACAATTCAAAATAATTGAAATTGGGATCTTGAAGTGATATTTGCATATTTGTTGCACCATTATTCATAAAATTCAAGACATCGAGACAGCCTAAATATCCATCCACAGGTAAATGGATATAGAAAATATAGTATATATGAACAGTAAGTCCCCCCTTAGCCTGGTAGGTTGGTTCTTGGAAACTGTCACTTTAAGCACTTGGTGTATAATGAAAACAATTATTGCTGAAACAAGAGTCAAATTTCTACAGAATGTTTCTGGTCACAAAAATATCACCAATCTTTTAAATAAAGACCCAAAATACTTTAATATTAAAAAATAATAATAGTTGCTAAGGGGTAAAGACCAGATTAACCACACTGGAACATAAGGGTACAGCTATGCTCAGTTCATATTATTTTCCTTTAATTCAGATTCTCAGATCATCGATATAGAGGTTAAAGAGTCATAGATGATTATTGAAGCACTTCATCTTTCATTTAAGGATTACCTGATGTGTCCTGTAACTTTAGGTAGTAAAAAACCACTTTGTTAGGTGAGGAACAAAATTCATAGGAGTTCAGGTTCTGCTTGTGTGAGGACAAGGATGATACAACAAAAGAATTTGAGTCTATTAATTTCATTGCTAAGAAGTTAGATTTTTCATTGGCATACCTCCTTTATTATTTTGTTAATGAAGGAACAGTTAATTTATATTTGAAATTTAGACATATAGTTGTATTGGTTTGATTAATGGCAGGAGTAGGCAAACTCTGGCCTGCAGATCCAATCTAGCTTTCACCTATTTTGGTAAATATTTGTGTGAACATAACCATATCCATTGTTTACAGATTGCCTCAGGTGATTTTCACTCAGAGGTTGTAATGCAGAGTATAAAATAATTGCCTATTGGTCCTTTACAGAAAGAGTATGTTGATCTCTGGATTAACGCCTATTTCTATGAAACACATATCTCAAAGATAGGGTTGGTATTCATTATGGTTGCCTGCATAATGGGCCCTGGGTGAAAGGGAAAAGTAATGTAGATGCAGCTGGGCTAAGATCTATTCAATAATTTCATATCTGTGCTGCTTTTGTTTATCCAGCCATGCATAGATACTTGTTACTTCCTTTGTGTCTGCATACTCTAGAGATGTCTAATTTTGCAGTCATTTATTTAAAGGTTTGTCGTGCCTATTTGTTATTGAGTAACTTGAGAGTAAGGTGCATACTTGCCTTACCTTTTATTCTCAAAATCTAAACAATATTTGGCATAATACTAAAAATTCGAAGAATTGAATTAGATTGGACAGAATCCTCCAGCATCCCAGAGCAGAAGCATTTTATGATGGGTACAAAGACAATATTTGGCATAATACTAAAAATTCAAAGAATTGAATTAAATTGGACAGAATCCTCCAGCATCCCAGAGCAGAAGCATTTTATGATGGGTACAAAGACAGAGGATGAGAATGCATTCTCCTTCACAGAAATTTAAATTATTTTATAAATAATTGAACATGAACTACAAACCTGCAGTTATATGGAGAAACAGAACTTGAAAGGCTCTGATGTATTTTGATCAGAGAGCTCAAAATCAGTAACCGACAAGTATATTTAACAAAGACAAGGATTAGTTTTTGATTTTCCTTTAAAACTTTATAGTTAAACACTATGAACTCCTATTCATTGAAATGATTGAGGAAATTGATTTTTACAGTTAATTTAATGATTCAGCTAATTAGTATACAGTAATAGGTTTTCCATGTTTAGAGGGAAAATGATGAAATAAGTAGTCATAAAACCATCTGGACAAATTTTAAACTTGCTTTAATGATTCAGAAGGCATGTCAGGATCTTGAAGTAACATAGTTATCATAATGAACACAAATAGTAGGTGGTTAAATACTTATTTATTAGAATTGTGTACTTCAAGGTAATAGTAAAAAAAAAAAAAAGGCTGTAAATATGCTGACCCTGTGGTGTATTTTGGAAATTGCTTTAAAAATTCCTGATATCAGCTTGCTTACTTGTCATTTATATTTTTCATATAAAAATAAATTGCAGTTGAAACACTTTAGTTATTTGAGTTTCTCAGCTATTTGTATTATAGATAAAGCAAAGTTTTATATTTCTTGAATATTTTTAGAATTGGCAGCCTTCAAAATTCTTTTCCTTTCAATTTTAATGCCAGTAGTAAATATTATTTGTACCCATCTTAAACATCAGAAACAAATATTGTACTGTCTTCTTCCAAAATTGGTTTGCTGTCTCAGTGTCCAAGTGTTAATGGTTGTGAACCTAGATGAACAGAGATGAGTTGAGATCTTGACTCAGCCACCAATTATTTGTGTGATCTGGAAAAGCTATTTAATCTATGTTTCAATATGATCTGTGCAATAGGATACTTAAATAACAGTGTTACGGCAAGAATTAATAAGTCAATGAATTAAAGCCTTAAGTTATCAAGGTTTTGACAAATCTAGATCTGAAAATGGCAACTATTTTCCTCCTAGAGTCACATTATTAAAAATTATTTACCTTTTCATTTAATTTGAACACATGTGGAGATTCATGTGATCACCATAACAATTAGAATGCAGAACAGTTTTATCCCTCCCAAAATCTCTTATGTGGGCCCTATATATTCACCCCTTCCCCAAACTTTAATATATGACAACCACTGATGTATTTTTTATCAATATAATATTTAATTTTCTAAAATGGAATATAAGGAAAGGAATATATTTATTCTATTCTCGAATGTAATAGATGGAAACATAACCTAAACTTTGAGACTCACTTCTTCACCTAGCATTTTGCATTTGGGGATTTATCCCAAATAAATCTATGGTGTGTCAATAGATTATTCTTTTTATTGCTGAACAATAGATTATTTTATTGTATTCCATTGTATTCATATATCGGTTTGACTATCCATTCACTTATTTAAGGACATTTGAGTTGGCTCCTATTTCATAAAATTTTGAATAGAGTTACTGTATGAACATATGTTGTGTGAACATATATTTTCATTTCTCTAGGATAAATAACTAGTGATGGGATTATTAGGTCATATGGAAAAATGTGTTACACTTTCTAAAAACTGTTACGCTAATTTCTAGAGTGATCATACCATTTTGCATTCCAGAAATGTATGAAAGTTCCAATCGCTCTGTGGCCTCACCAACACTTGGTATCATCTGTTAAACATTTCTGGTAGGTATGATATGGCATTTCATTGATGTTTTAATAATAATGTCAAGCATATATTCATATGCTTATTTGATAAATTGAGATCTGAAAATGGCAACTATTTTCCTCCTTAAAGTCATATTATTAAAAGTTATTTACTATAAAGAAAATAGCATAGACTATGAACCATGGATTTTCTTTGGTAAAGTATCTGTACAAATATTTTGTTTACTGTTAAATTGTGGTGTTTGTCTTATTGGTGAGTTTTTGAGAACTGTTTGCATATTCTGCATAAAATCCTTTGTCAACTAGGTGATTTGGAAATATTTTCTACCAGTGTGTCACAGATCTTTTTACTCTCTTAAACAAAGGTTTTAAAGTTTCATGGAATTCAATTTATCATTTTTTTTTCCTGTATGAATTTTACCTTCAGTGTCATGTCTGAGAAATCTTTATCTAACCTCCTCTCAGGAAAATCTTCTGTTGTCTTCAAAAGCTTTATAGTTTACTTCTGGATCTAGAATTCATTTGAGTAAGTTTATATTTGGGGCCAATTGCTTTCTATTTTATGCCCTATTGTGTTTATCTCTTCATCAATAGCACACTGCCTTGATTTTGATGGCTTGTAGTAATTTTTAAATTACCTCCAGCTATATTCTACAGTCTCAAAAGGGTTTGGACCCTTCCTGTTTTTTTGACTTTCCATTTAAATTTTAGAAGCAACTTGCATTTATTTACAAAATCCTGTTGGGATTTTGATTGGAATTACATTAAATCCATAGATCAATTTTGGAAAAACTAACATCTTTTTTTGTGTGAAATCTTCTAATCCATGAACACAGTCTGTCTCTCCATTTATTTTGGGCTTCATTGACTTTTTTAAAGAGTATTTTGTAATTTTGAGTACATAAGTCTGAGAGTTTACTAGATTTATACCTAAACATTTCAAATATTTTGAAACTGCTGTGCTTTTAAAATTATTTTGAGTTTCCAATTGTTCATTTTTAGCTTGTAGAAATAAGGTTGATTTTTGTATCTTGATTATATATTTTGAGACCTTACAAAACACATTTATTAGTTCTTGGGTTTGTGTGTGTACGTAGATTACTTTGGAATTTCTACATAGACGGTTTTGTTTCTTATAAATAAGGTCAATTTTATTTTTTCTTTTCCAATTTTTCTGATGTTGAATAGGAGTGATGAAAGCATAAATTTTTGTATGACATCAGAATTTGTTTTTTTCTTGGTAAATCCTCTTGAACAAGTTAAAAGAATTCATCTTCTAGTCCTAGTTTGCTCAGTGTTTTTTTTTTTTTTTAAATCATGGTGTAATGTTGAATTTTATTCCAAAATTATTTTGCTATTTATTGATATATCTTTTAGTGACAGTTACATCAATTGGTAATGATGTCCAATGGTCATGATTCTTGGTATATGTTGCGGCAGACCATTTCTTGATACTTTGTAGAAGATTTTTGTGTTGATGTTTATGATTGGTAATGGTTTGTGTTTTCTTTCATTTATTTTCCTCTTTGTCTTTGTCTGGTTTAATAGTTTATGTAGTTTTTTTTTTTAAGATTTATTTATTTATGCATACAAGAGCTGGGGTACAGGCCAGAGATGTGGGGGGGTGAGAGGATTCACCAGAGACAGAGCGGGGAACAGAACAGGCAGACCAACGAAATACACTGCTGAGGGGAGCAGCGGGTGAGTCAGGAGAGGTCTGCTGTGCCATCTGGGTTGCTCCCTGGCTGGCCGGGGATTGAACTCATGCTGCAGAGGCTGCGGATTGCTTCATAGCGTGGTGCTTAACCCCTTGAGCCATCAGGGAGGCCCAATAGTTTATGTAGTTTTAAGGCACTTAAGAAAAGTTGTGTTTATCCCAGTATCCATCATTTTTGTTGTTCTCCCTTCATTCCTGATATTACATTCTTGATATTATATTTTCTTTGGTATCATTTCCCTTTGTCCTGAAAAACTTCCCTTAACAGTTATTTTAGAACAAATTTTCAGGCAGCAGATTCTTTTGGTTTCCCTTGTTAGAGAAAGCATTTATTTTATATCTATTCCTGAAGGAAATGTTTACACTGGAAGACATTGAGTTAATTCTTTCTGGCCTCCATGATTTCATATGAGAAACATTTGAATGGATGTTCTCATATAGTTATTGTGTTTGGTCCTTCTTTCTGCTTTTTAAGAATTTTTCCTTGTCTTTACTTTTCATAAGTTTGATTACAATATGTCTTGGCATGGACTTCTTTGTGTTTATCCTCTTTGGAGTTTATTGAATCCCTTTTAACTATAACTTTATTATTTCACTAAAATGAGGTCATTTCAACCATTATTTCTTTAGATGTTTTGTTCTGTATCACCCTTTTTTCTTTCCTCCTGAAACTCTGATTATTCAAATAATAGACCTTTTGATACTGTTCTATAGGTCCCCCTTCTTGTCATCTCCATTCTGCTTTTGAGCCTATCCAGTGAGGTTATTTTTATTAGAAATGTAAAATTTTTAAAGCATCATTTTATTAAAAAGGTTCATGGAAAATCGCTTGTATCCTGCCAAGTTTTATATTTGCTCCAGATTTTGTATTTTCAACCACCAAGTATTCATGGTTGCATTAATATAAGCTACCAGTCAGGACAATAGGAAATAGGGGATATTATGTTAGCTTTATGTAAAGTATGTATAGATGATGTGGTTTTTAAACAAGCCCACAAATGTTTTAACACTCTTTCCATCAGAAGGTTTGCTATCATTACCGTCCCTTTGAATACTTTTCAATGTTATGTTAGTGACTTACATCTGAAATGGAATCTTTTTAAAAGTGATGCTGTGTCACTGTCAATGCCATGCTAGCAACACAGCTTCTAAGGCTCTCTTTCACTAAGAATCCAGTGGGGTCTCATGATGGAAAGAGCCTGAATCTTTGAATGCCTAGGCCAGTCACTCAGCTCCTATCAGACAGTGAAATCGGTGAGAAATGTCATGTCTGTGCATGAATGCATGCATGCATGCATGTGAATCTATGGATATTTTAGGTTGATTGTTTTAGCAGTTGGTGTTAATTACTTTTGCTAATAGTCAAAGTAGATCTTACATTGAGATTGGTAATTTCTTGATTTTCACTAGATTTTGGTCATTGAAGAAAGTACAACAAATCCTTGAAAAATATGATTTCATTCAACGTTATTTTGTTATAATATTGAAAAAATAAACTCCTGACTGGTGCCCCCATCTGTCTGGAGTTGGCACATTCTCCCTATGTCTCTCTGGGTTTCCTTTGGGTGCTTTAGTGGTTTCCTCTTATATCCCAAAGATTTGCACGTTAGGTTCATAGTCAATGATAATTGCCCCAACATGAGTGCATGTGGTTGTGCGTGAGTACCCTGTGATGAAGGACGCCCTGTCCAGGATTTATTTCCACCCTGTGCTCTAAGCTGCTAAGACAGGTTCCAGCCATCTGTGAACCTCAACTGAAATAAGCGGGTGGGAAAATAAATGAATGAATGAATGAGTGAGTTAATGAATATAAGTTGTTTTGGGTATTTATTTAGAAGTTTGTTGATATTTTTGTGACTAGGAATATGCAGCAGGAACTTAACTCTTGTTTATATTAAGTAGTTCTATTGCAAAATTGATTTCATTTTGCTTAAGTTATTCAGTTTCCAAGAACCTATCAATGACGTTAAGTGAGACCTTACTGTATTAGTTTATCACCTATTTATATTATAAACAACAGTGTGATGATAATTGACAGAATCATGTTTGTGGCTTGCTTTTGGTGTTTTAGGAAGTAGGCAAGAGGTCAGTTTACAGCAAAAGTATCATTACATTTAGATAAATTATTTCTTTCCTTCTAGTTAAGGAGACCTGCCTATTGTTATCTTGCACTTGCTGAATACAAGTTGAGAGAGAAATCTTCTTTCACTCTCTCTAGATAATAATCATGAAAAGAAAGAACTAATATGAAATACTGTGATTTCTCTTCTATCACATGTGGCTAAGAAGATATCCTGGATATAATAAATATGAATCAATGAAAGACAAGCAGATAATTACTTGCATTTTAGATGAATATAAAAGAAGTTTGCCTAGTGTTTAATAATATGTCTTATCATTTTTAGACAAGCATAAGGATAATATCTATTCTGTGTCAGAGATAAGACAGTGACAAAGAAGTAAGAATACTCCCTCTTGTGGTTCTTGAGAAAAACAATCCCTGCATCAGAGTCTATTGAGAAAACAGAAATTCTGGAATCCAATATAACTTCAGTAGCTAAGTAAATTTATCCTTTTCTTTCTGACCTGCTTCTATGAAACCAAGTCACCATTCTAGGTTGTGTTGATTTGGATCTTCTTGAGAGTGTTGGTGAGCTTGTGCTACTCACTGCAGGGAGGAAGGAGACTATAACTGGGGGAAGGACTCTTCGTCCTGAACTAGAGGAAAGACCACTTTGCACTTGGGATTGTTTCCTTGAAGGATAAAAGAAATAGTAAATGTCACTAAGTTTCTTTCTTTAACTTGTGACTGGTTCCCCAATGTACTTTCTTTTGGGAAGCTCTGATTGAAGAGGTTTGAATTTGGTGTTTAGGACAGTTACCTCTAAAATATCTTTCATTATTTTGTGGTGGGAATGGGTGGGGGTGAAGTGTTGTAAATGTATTTTTCAGACATATGCTTCTCCCTCTGTCTATTTTGAATTTCATTTAGCAGCTTTGCTTTTCTTGGGGAATAATTGGCTGCAAAATGCTGGAAATAGGATGTTTCTTAAGAAGTAATTTAAGGATGGCATTGCAACTGCAAGACAACACAAATCCCCATCAGCAGTGGTCTGATGTGAAATCAGCATTGGTTTTCTCATAATTTATGCTTCCTGCTTTTTGCTTCTAATGTTTCACCATTAGAAACACGATATCTTCAGTTCTGAGGAGGGTTGACATCTGGTTAGAAAAATCAGTATCTCTATCTCTCTATCTAACTGTATCTCTCTTTTTTGAATTAGGTTGTACATACTATTCT